CTTTCTTTATAAACCATCCTGTGCTGATATTGCAGTAGGCAGTATTCAGTGCATGGTTTCCACAATTCATTTATTAATGTTTAAAGAATAGCCAAAGTTGTTGCTGTAACCCTCGAATTTTTTTTTTAAACTGATGCAAGCATTTCTATCATCCTAAGAGCAGGGCCAGTCTTGAAACTGATGACTATAAGAATTGTCATAGCAGCCCCATGTATTAAGCCTAACAACCTAACAGCTTTAATAGTGGATACGATAGCTGTTATTTCATAGACCATATTTGCTAGAGAAAGTCAGTAGTTCAAACAGCTTGATCGCATGTTTTTAAAGTTTAAGAAAATCAGCTCTTTAAATTAGGACCAAAAGTCAAAGGGTTTTATTTTTTTTCCTGCATTACATACCAATTAGAACTTCCAAATCATCCTCAGAAGAAGCTTTAGTAGTTCACTTGGATGCTATCATTCTGTCTAATTCCTGATCCATAGAAGAAAAAACGGGAAACTGGATAATTATTTAAGTTCATGCAGTTTAAAGTGCACTACAAGGCAAAAAAAAGCTACAAGCCATGAAAGGTGCCAACTTCTAGTTGTTCAGCAAACTTGGTCCTGCTGACCAAGCTGCTGTGTAAGAAACTGCTATGACTGATTGTGTGAAAAGATCGCAGAATAGCTAATATGCACAGACCATTTCTTTTTGTGGGCTTCGATAGTGATATGTGAATTGTGAATATGTATATGAATAAAGTAGACCACCTTATTTACATGTATGTATTAATGTATATGTATGTATATACACACACATACAAATATGTATGTATGTGAATAAAGTAGACCACAACCTTATTCTTGGCAAGCTAGAAAAATTAGAATCAGAATTAGAAGAACTTTATTGTCATTGTACAACAAAACTGTGGATGCACCCCAGCAACTGTTTGCAATACAATAAAACCAAACCACTTAAAAATGAAGATAAGAAAGATAGAGTACCCACGTCTCCATTTGCAATTTGAGAGTACAATATCTACAAATGTGGGATACACAGCACTACCACCAGATAGGTTTATAATTGGCTGACAAATTGTACTTAACATGTTATCCTCAATGGAACTACATCCACATGGTGGGAAGTAAGCAGTGGAGGACCACAAGGTTGTTTTAGGCACAGTACTCTTCAGTATCTTCATAAGCAATCTAGATAAGGGAATAGAATGAGAACTCATCAAATTTTCAGATAAAACTAATCTGGCAGGAATAGCCAATATTCCAGAAGACAAGCTAAAGATCCAAAAAGATCTTGACAGACCTGAATACTGGGTCCTATCTAACAAAATGAAATTCAACATACCGTGTTTCTCATATAATAAGGCCGGGTCTTATTTTTTTTTGAGCCCTGAAAAAATGGCTAGGCCGTCTTTTCGGGGGTGACTTAATTCCCCCCCCCTTGCATCTTCAAGCGGGCGGCAACGGCTTGGATGTTGACCTTGGCGTTGGTGGGGCACTTCGTATCGGGGTCAACGTAGGCAGCACCATATCCAGGTGTGCAAGAAAAGTACTTCCTAACGGCAAGCCCCCCCACCATTCCCCCCATTTCGCATGTTTTAATATAGGCCTTAATTTGGGGGGAGGGGCTTAATTTCATTTCATGCCTATAAAACATGCTGGGACTTCCTATTGGGGGAGGCCGTATTGTTGGAGAAACAGGGTAGATAAAAGTAAGGTTTCCATTTAAGCAAGAAAAACCAACTATATAGATACAGACTGGATAAAACTTGGCTTGATGACACTAACTGTGAAAATGATTTGGAGTCCTAGTGGACAGTCACTTAAATATGAGCCAAGAGTGTATGGCAGCAACCAACCCCAGACTGCCTTAATAGAGGGATAGAATCAAGATCAAGAACAAAAGCTGTGGCGCAGTGGTTAGAATGCAGTACTGCAGGTTACTTCTGCTGACTACTGGCTGCCTGCAATTTGGCAGATCGAATCTCACCAAGCTCAAGGTTGACTCATCCTTCCAAGGTGGGTAAAATGAGGACCCAGATTGTTGGGGGCAACATGCTGACTCTGTAAACCACTTTAGAGAGGGCTGTGAAGCATTTTAACTTTACCACTTCAATTTCAGTTGTTATTCTGTCATACAATATATATGTACTTTTTAGTGTTTTTCCAGCTTTTCAATGCTTATATTTTTAAAGTTGCTAACATAATACAAATTCCCTTCTTAATTTCCTATTTCTTAGATCAGGAGTAGGCTAATTTTAATTACCCCTAAGATTACTCAATAAAATTCATGGAAATTGGAGAATTTGTTCTCAGTCCTCCTCTATTCAGTCATCCTTACCTTTACATTTCTTTGTGCCACTGTTCCCTTTCTTTTCTCTCTTATTTATATTCAGATATAGAACCCTGCTGTCATTACTTCCACTTTGCATTCTTTCATTTTCCTGGGAAGACAGTTAAACTGTTTATCTGGAAATTTAAAAATAGATTTCCTCCCCACTGTATTAGTCTTTCAGCTCCTGCATCACTTGTAAATAGAACACAATACTGTATCTGTATATACCTACTAATTACAGCATATAGTATATAGTATTGAAATCTGTCCAGGCAGCATGAATTCATCTTTGAGTTTTCTTTATTGTCTATATTAAGTGGGTTGTTTATGTCAATTCAGTCGGAAAGCATTCATCTTACAGATATATTAGGAATGCGGACAATTTGTACTACAGAGAAAAGTATTGATAAAAAGGCAGGTAAATTGCATAAAAACGTCAAGAGTGATGTGGTTACAGAAAACTTTCCAGAGAGCTGTTTACCCTAGTGGTCTTATAATGGAAGGAGTCTGCAACACATTTTATTAAAAAGCATGACCTTTCATGAGCTAGAGCTCAGTTTATGTTTTTAATAACATTTTCTACTTAGAAAAGGTGCTATTAAACTCTTTCTGACCTTTGGCTATCATAGACCAGCATGGCTCTCTTCCTACAATATCTCAATAGTGGGGCATCACAGGATTACTGGTACCTGAAGAACATTCTGGGATCATCTAAGATTTAATAGTTCCAAATGTGGGTAATAACTAGAAGATTTAGTATCTTAAAGGTAAATGTAAAGTTTTCCCCTTTCCTGTTGTGTTTGACTCTAGGTGCTCATCTCCATTTCTTAGCCAAGGAACCAGCATTGCCCAAAGATAATCATGCCAGCATGATTATATAAACTGAGATGCATGGAATGGTGTACCCTTCCTAAAGAAGTGGTACCTATTTACCTACTCGCATTTGCATGCCTTCAAACTTGTAGGTGGGAAAAAGCTGGGGCAAATAATGGGAGCTCACCAAGTTATGTGCACTTGGATCTTGAAATCGGGCTGTCAACTTTCCATCTGACAAATCCAGGCTAGGAAGGCTAGATCAAAAGATCCGACCTTGGTGGGAAGGTAACAGCACTCTGTGATGTCATGCTGGCCACATAAAAGCGGGAATGTCAAACAGTGCTAATTCAATGGCCTTGAAATGGAGATGAGCACTACCCCCTATAGTCAGCAACAACTAGCAGAATAAAATCTGCAGAGTCCTTTTACCTTTATTAATCAAAGTAAACTTTGAAGATGAATAATTTTATTATAGGATTCAAGGATAAAAGGATAGATAAGGGTGAACTTATTTAGGAAACTAAGTCCTTGGAAAAGAAATTCTTAGCAGATGCTGTAAAGAAATGAAATTGTGTGACAAGCCAGATATTTGTCTCTTTTGCCACAGCGCCTGCTTCAAATATACTGGGATATCAGCTCCTTGCAGGAGAGATTTATAAAAATGTTTCAATAACTAGTAAACTATTCCTAAAAAGTGAGGTAGATTGATTACAAAAACAAGGCCAGCGTCAAGATTGATGTGATAACTGGTTGGCATAGCTTCTGCATTTGTATATGTTGCACAATCTTCAGTTTTTAAAGGTGTGGATGTAGAATAAAAGCAACCAGTTGTTTTAACTGGTCCCAGCATAGCCATATCATTAGCAGGAGATGGGATGAAGCTGCAAAGACAACAACCAAAAGCAAAATGCAATTTCCTTTTTATGATATAGTTTCCCCACCCCTAAGTCAACCAAACAGCCTTTGGTTCTTTAAATAGCATTCCACAGTATTCAATTTATTATAGATCTTCTTCCTGGATTTCAAGAGCGATGATCATAAGATCTTTGATCTTAATATTTCAGACTATCCACACGACTGAACCTCAGCATTGGCTAAATAACAATAACCTCACTCTAAACATGTCAGAGAATTAAAGCAGCTTTCTTCAATGTGTCCTCTAGGCGTGCCAAATCCCAGGATTGTGGTTAGAGAATGTCATCCAATGCACCTGGGTTGCACCAAACTAGGAAACCGCGGTTTAAAGAAACCTGCGGTTCCTGGCGCTCGTCAGGCTCCTTCCCGCACAGCAGCAATCCTCCTACGCATCTCCGCTAGCATCCTTCTCCCAGCTTGTTTGACTGGCCGCGTTTCAAGTCCCTTCGTCGCAGCAACCAACGGCGGTTTCTTCACTTCTTTCGCTACCCAAGCCTCGCTCCGCTCAGAACAGCTGCCACTTCGGAAACTTTGAAGGCGGGGAAGAGCAGAGAAGCCACCTTTCTTGACCGGCTAGTCCGTGCTTTGGATCCAGCCTTCCATAGGAGGCTTCGTTTTGCGCGGGCTTTTGCAAGCCTAAGAGCAAAAAGCAACAGCAAAGGGAAGCGTGGTTAGTTTGTCGGCTCGGCGCTCCTTCGTCTCTAAAGTTTCGGGTTTCGCGAGCGGGATCCTCCGTCGCCCGGTTGTACTTTATTCTGCATCGAGACGCTCGAACTTTAAGGCTGCTCTTTCGAGGATCTCGCCCGGGACCTCATCATCCACTTTAAGAACAAGGCGGGCTCTTAGTTGTCCATTTCTTGTCCCTCGAGTTTTAACAAAACAAAACAAAAACCGACAACGCCTGCCATGTCCGAGGAGCGAGGGAAGACAGGTGAACTATGCGATCCCTGAACATTACGCCGGAACAGTTCGCGCAGCTCTTGCGGGACAATAACATAACCCGCGAGCAGTTCATTGCACTCTATGGGCTCCAGCCGCTGGTCTACATCCCGGAGCTACCCGAGCGCGCCAAGCTGGCCTTCATGCTCACTTGCGCGGCGATCTTCGGCCTGGCGCTCTTCGGAAACTGCCTAGTGCTCTACGTGGTGACCCGCCGCAAAGCCATGCGGACCGTCACCAACATCTTCATCTGTTCGTTGGCCCTCAGCGACCTGCTCATTGCTTTCTTCTGCGTCCCTTTCACTTTGCTGCAGAATATCTCCAATAATTGGCTGGGAGGTGAGCTGGAGAGGCTGCTTCGAGCCTCATCAGTGGTGTGTGTGCTTTGCTAAAAATCTGTGGGTTGGAAACGTTGGGTTTCCTTTTAACATTATGCTGAGATGTGCAAAGAAGGGAATGTAGAAATGGGAGAAGTGGGTGTCAGTAACTGACTTTGTAACAGAGAAAAAAGTATTCTTACATCTCTGGAGAGGTAACCTCTTTGTCACTTCTTTCTATTGCTCTTGTTGCGGGATGTGAAGGGTAGATATTTTGCGTTTGGAAATGGTTAATGGCCAGATATTATTTCCCTCACTAGATTATTCTTAACAGGTTATTGGCTTTAGTGTTGTGTTGGGGGAACCTTGAACCTAATGTTAATTTTTAATGTTTGAGAATTCTCAACTGGCAAAATTCAATTTGGAGCTGGACTTCAGTTCTCATAATCCCCAGAATCAACACATTGGGAAAAATTTATTTCCAATTTACAACCATTCATTGTTCTCATACTATTGTTAGTAGCTCAGTGGTAGAAGGTGGATATCATACAACATAATATTTAATATCTATAGGTGCCTATTAATCCAGATGCCAGATATAAACGATAATCTTACTAGGTAGGATCTAATTTTAATAAGTACAGTGTTTCCTATGGATTATTTCCTATGGATTCCTGTGAATTATTTTCATGGTCATTTCTTTATAACTTGCCATGGCAGAATTAAAGTGTTCAGAAAACTCTCTTGACATTGTTATTACGTATTTAGGAATCTTACAGCATCTGTATGTATGTAATCAAACTTACAAATGAGTATAAGTATATAACATTAGTTCTCTTAGTATTTTAAAAGTATGCATTTTTTTTATTAGTATCTTCATACTGAACAGTATTTCTCATTCTCAATTATCTAGTGACTTTTTAAAATCTGGGGGTAGAATATTTGAGAAAATAAGATTTTGTGAAGCTAGAAAGGACCTCTACCTTTGCAGACATAGTATTCTATTGAAATAATTGAAGAAATTGATTAGTTTTATATTAATATTTCATATTTATAGTAGATTATGATCCATTGTATAATAGCACTCTGGATCCATATTCCATCTTCTGGTTTTGTTCCCCATCAGAATTAAAATTGGTAAATGACTGTCCAAAAAAAATTCCATTCATTTCTCTTCAGAATTCAGCTGCAGGAGAAGCGTAAACTAATAATGTTATGTATTAAAAATCACAGCTTTATGGCTTTATTATAATGCACAATAATCAAGCTCAAGACTGAACTATCTAGAAATCAATTGGAATATGTTTATATGGGTTTCATAACCTATAATTCTAGTCTGAGATAGCCACCTCTTTTAACAGGTTTTATATGTTGTCTTCTGAAGCATTAGATATTTTGCACAGTTAAAAACACCTTATTTGTGTTTATGTATAACCTAGTCCAAGGTTTCCTTAAGGTTTCTAAATAAAGTGCAGTAACAAAAACTAAAGGGAAACATATTTACTACTAGTGGCTTTGTTATTTGCAAATCAGTAAATATGATGTGTATACACAGACACAGACACACACAGATACCCCCCCCATCAAGTTGTTTTTGTACCTTACATAGTTACTCTCTATGATGATCTGTCCTTAATCTGTTTTTTCAAGCCTCCCAACTGATTAAGCAGTCTGATGTTACCAAGAGAAGATAGTCTGTAGTTATTCCAGACCATGGAGGGCTTTGAAAGTAAAAATGAACATTTTGAATTGCTTTCAGCAATAAAATGGGAATCAGTGTGATGGGTTCATAGCGTGCACTTAATACCACTATAAGTGAGCCAATCCATCCTGCTGTTGGTTTGTCTCTGGTTTTTTTTAAAAAAACTTTAAAAGCATTAGAGGCTTTTAGAGAGGTGGATCTTTGCATAATGTGTCCAAACTGGATAGTGTATGTCTGTAGATCGCTATAGATAGCTATATTGATATACCTGATTATAGTGCTTGACATTAATCTGTGCCTGGTTATGCTTAGTAGCAAAACATACATAAAGATAAACTTAGTTTTCTCTTTTTTATACTCCAATGTTCTATATTAAGGCAAAAAGTATTTGTGGATAATGGTATTAAGTATTTCACTAATTTATTATTTATTTATAGGGCTGCTTCAGTCAGTTGATTGCATAGCTCCTTGTTATGTAATTGAGATTAAAAACTAAATTTAAATCAAATTAAAACAGCTTTATCCATTGTAATTGTAATCCTCTAAAACCAGGAATCATAACCAAAACAATAAAACACTTTCTACCATCCAGAAGGATAGTCATAACAACCTGTCCATCCTGGCTTGATGAAACAACCATATACTGTCTAGTTTTGTATAATACATGTGTATGTATATGTGTGTGTATATGCACAGCATATGTGTATGTATATGTATATGTATGGGTGTATACATACAGATATTCTTTTGAAAATGGGCATCAAAATTTCATTTTAAAGTCTGTCAGTGTGTACATAGAAAAAGTGACAATAAAGATTATCTTATCTATCTTTCATGTTCCCTGAAGGTAACATCTCAGATAGAGGAGATATACAGTGAGCCACACTACAGAAACTTATTCGGTAGGCTGTGGGAAGACGGTCTGTAGACACCCTACTATGAAGGGCTTTGAAAGTAAAAAATAAGTACATTTAATTGCCTCTAGAAACAAAATGGCAATCAGTGGCTCTCCAGGAGTTTTTAAGTAGAAGCCTTGAAGGGTTCCTATAACATTACCCACTGTGTCTTGGACCATCTGTAGCTTCTAAATATTCTTCAAATGTAACCCTCAAATAGAATGCATTGCAGTAATCTACTTAAGGGGTAACTAAAGTGTGAGTGACAATAATTAATATCTCCTATCTTAGGAATGATTATAGTTGGTACACAAGATGGAACTGTGTAAATCAGGGGGTCTTCAAGCTTGACAACTTTAAGACTTGTGGACTTCAACTCCCAGAATTCTTCCTCCAGGCATGTTAGCTCAGGAATTCTGGGAGTTGAAGTCCAAAGTCTTAAATTTGCCAAGTTTGAAGACCCTTGGTGTAAATGCTTACGTGGTGACAGTTGTCATCTGCTTCTTGAGCTGTGACTCCAAAAGGCTCCTCAAATTGTGAACTAGCACTGTTAGGGAAGTACAATTCCGTTCACTAGATTCTGTAGACCTTTGAATCCAAAGTTACTTTGCCTTACTGTTAACACTGGCATTGAATCTTAATCTGTTTCTCTCAATGTAAATCCAGGCAGTCTCTGGACATCTCAACTTCAATTGCATGATTTATTTGGCCAAAAATTGAGATGTATAATTGAGTATTATCAGCATGCTGATGAAACCTGTCTCTATGCTCTGGATCGGGGTCGCCAACCTTTTGGACCTCAGGGACCACCAAACTCATAATTTTAAATCACGTGAACTACTAATATGAATTTTGACTGACGGTGGCTTGCTGATGTTGGTGGGAGAGAGGGAGAGAGAGAGAGAGAGATCTGATCTAACCTCAGAGGGCTGGCTGTGATTCTCTCCCCCTCCCTCTCTCCCCCCCTTTCTCTCTCTCTCTCACACACATACACACACACACACATACACAGGTCCCTCACACCTCCACCCCCTCCAAGGCAGCCACATTCCTAACCTGTTTTTCAGCTCCATTCTCAGGGAAAGAGAGGGAGGAGGGAGGGAGGGAGAGAGAGAGGGGGGAAGTGACAGAGAGAGATCCAATCTAACATCGGAGGGCTGGCTGTCATTCTCTCTCTCTCTGTCTCCCTCTGCCCCCCCTCTCTCTCACACACACAAAGGTCTCTTACACATCCCCACCCCTTCCAAGGCAGACACATTCCTAACCAGCTCTGTTCTCAGGGGGAGAGAGAGAGAGAGATAGTAGAAGAGAGAGACCCTGGGAAACCCCCAAAAAAGTCTGCAGGAAAATCCCCCACCCCGTTTTCCTACCGAGCGATCATTCTTTACTGTCTCCAGCTTCATTCTCAAGGGGGGGGGGGAGAGAGACTTTTGGCTTCATGCAAGGAAATCAGCAGAAGCAGCAGAAGTCTTTCTCTCACCAAACCACCAGAAATGAATCTTTACCGGCGCAGCCTCTTGGAGCAGGATGCCTTGCAGGGTCCCAAAGACTCATTTCTTGCAGAGTTTGGGGGAGAGAAAGAAAGACTTTTGCTGATTTCCTTGTGTGCAGCCAAAAGCAGAAGAAGAAAGAAGTGGAAAGAAGCAGCCCAGTGGCCAGACGAGGCCTGTGGGGCAAGTTCCCCCTCCTCCCTTTCCCCTCTTTCCTCACTACCTCATGTTCGCAATGCAAGTGAAACAAGCCTTGTGTTCCCAGGGCCATGTGGGCGGTGCAGCCTTGTGTTCCTGCATTAATTGCTTTGGGGAGTGCTTGGAGGGGTGACATTTCTCTGCGGACCACTAAAATTTTCTCGTGGACCACCAGTGGTCCCTGGCCCACTGGTTGGCGACCACTGCTCTGGATGATATCATCCAGCAGTTTCATATAAATATTGAATAGGAGCTGGATAAAAGTTTCACTTTGCTACCAATCCAACCAGAGATCATATATAACATGATCAATGCTATGAACCTGAGCTGAAAATTTGATTGAAATGGATAGAAATAACCCATTTCCTTCGTGGCTACTTTCTCTATAACTTTCACTCTAAAGTGGAGGTTGGAGATGGTAATTGTCCAGTATATCTAAATTGGGTATTGTTTTCTTGAGGGACATGCTCACTTCTTCACAGAACAAATGTTCAGAGGAAATCACATGCATCACTTTTTATCCTTACAACAGCTCTTCTCTAGGAACAAGAAAAACTTTGGAAAAGCCATTTAATCAGTTCATGGAAGAGATTTGTTTTAAGCTTCCTGATTATAGCTATCTTTGCTATAGTTAAATTCTGAATTGAGAGTTTAAGTATCTTCCTTGAAATATTTATACTGCTCCAGAGAATTTCTCTTTTATTATTGTATGATAATCGAAGTCTTATTTTTTACA